CCACGCCCCGGCAGACTTTCCAAAGCCACTTTTGGAGGGATGAGCTGCACCTCTGGCTAAGCAAACCCCAAAACAAAAACAGGACAGCAACATGGGATTCTTTTGGCTCCATTTTTGTCATTGTGCTTGCGCACACGCGTTGCCAGTCGCGGGAGGTCGTCGTCCGAGCCGGCCCAGACCCGCGAAGAGTGGCGGCGATGGGCACCGGCAGGCATCGAGGCGCCTTCCACCATTCTGGATAGTTTATTTGTCAGAGACTGTTTGATGACATTATTGAATATTTTCCACGTTTGTGTGTTGCTCTCAATTGCGTTGCGCGTGTGAAAAGCAACGGCAAAAAAAAAAAAAAAAGTGGCCTGGGCCGGACCGGAGAAGCCTCGGTGGGCCGCCGCGGCAGTCGGAGAGTCGTTCGTTGGCCTTCGAGGCCGGCGAGGCGAGCCGGCCGACCGCGACCAGTCCTCGTCGCGGCATTTCGCTTTTTCTTCGTTGCTCGTTGACGTCTTCTTCTTCCTGTCAGCTCATTTGACCAATTTAATGATGTTGAGTGACGTTCTTCTCCGTCGCATTTTTCCTCACCGGGGCGACGGGCGCACGCAGCTCGAGACGATTGTTTTGTGTAATATTTTTGGACTATGATCGGGTTTTTTTTTTAATTAATATTATGACCGTAACAATTCCCGTGCATGTTTTTTTTTTAACCGTGATTGACGTTCTCCTAAATTGTTCTTCTCGGCATTGTATTTTTTTTTCTTTTTACAATTTCTATTTTTGTGACAATAATCATTCTTTTCTGGGATGATTGTTTTTTTTGGGGGGGGGGGCGGCGGGGGGCTTTTGAATTTGTCACGAAGTGGGGGGCAGCCGTCGCATGCAGTCGCGCGGCGAAAAGAAGGCCCGCGGCCCCCTCGGAGCGTCGAGGCCCCCCCTGCGCCAAAAGAAGAAAAAGAAGAAGCAGAAGCAGAAGCAGAAGCGACGACCAGTTTTTGCCTTTGGTTTCTCCCCCGCAAGATGGAGTCGGAGCAAAAACACGATCGAGCGCGTCGCCTCCTCCGGGCCGCTTTGGCGGGCGCAGAGCCGCGAGCGCGTCAAAAGCCGCCGGCGCGCCACTGTCAATTTTCCAGGAAAACACCAAAACGTTTCCATCTCAACGTTGGCTTTTCGTTGCCACCTCGGCAAGCTCGGCGCGCGTCCCCGCGGGCCGGCCTCTCGCGTACAAACGCAAACGCGAACGTCTGGGGGCTGGGGGAGGACGTTTTGGGTTTGTTTGTTTTTTTTTTTTTTTTTTTGCTGCGTCACCCAAAAATTTTCCCCGCAACGCCGATTGAAATAGGAGCGCGTGCGACGAAAAAGCGGCGGTGGCATTTGGCTAGGCCTTCAAACGGAACACGCGCGCGCGGATGAAAAGTGAGGCCGGGATGCATCGGGCGTGCGCGCCGTCATCCCAAGAGCGACGCGGTGAAACGCTCACATCTTGTTTTCAAGTGTCCAAACTCAAAAGATGACAACCGTGCGAGGATGGGGCAGGCAGGTGATTTTTTGTTTTTTTTTTTTGGTCGCAATTGAAACGAAAAAAGGCAACGTGCAAGCAATTGTTTTTTTTCCCCCCCCACTGTCATTTTGGGGACTTTATTTTCCTTGGGTGGAGTCACATGATCCTTGTCAATAAATATTCCTTCCCTCCTCGCTTCCAAACATTCCCAATTTACAAGCGGCGCGCGCCGCGTTCACTTGGCGGCGTCTCCCGCGTGCAGGCGCGGCACCGCGCACATGCTGCACGGGCACGGCATCCCGGCGGCGACCCCCCAGTGCTGGAAGGAAGGCGGCGGGGGGTGCGCCTTGAGGAGTCCGTGGGGGGGCCGGGCGGCGTGGGGAGGCGGCGGCGGCGGCGGGAGCAGCGGATGGTGCACGCC